GACCGAACAGCGGCTTCTGGAAGCAGCTGATCGAGTACAAGCACAAACTACATGGGAAAAATACAGTCCATTTGATAAACTCACCCATCGGACTCATTCCAGATTTGTATGAGAGAGAAACAAGGGTCTTGATTCCACTTTAGGAAATTACATTTTAACCTTGATATCTTTGTGTTTCCTGTCATTTCATTCGTATCTGAGTGAGCATTTCTGTATTATATTTGATGTCTTTGAATTGATACATTGTTTTTCTTGACAATAAAGTGCAATAAAACGCCACAAGATGGCAGAAGATTTCTTGGTAGGGCACATTTAGATTGAAATCATGGCCTCCAAACATATTTTTACACTTAAACTACACTTAAAAATAAAGGAATAGTTGCTGAAAATGTACTAACCCTCATGCTATCCAAGATACAGATGAGTTTTTCACAGGAGGAAGCATGATATGGCTTCAAGTTAACACTTCTTGATAATGTATATATATATTTTTTTTTTTCTTTTTACCAAACATGCAGCTTTTGTCTTCTCCAGATGTTAACTGATGGACTGGAGTGGTGTGGATTATTGTGATGTTTTTATCAGCTGTTTGGTCTCTCATTCTGACGGCACCCATTCACTCCATTGCTGAGACACTGATGCAATGCTACATTTCTCCAAATCTGATGAAGAAACAATCTCATCTACATCTTGGATGACCTGAGGGTGAGCACATTTTCAGCTAATTTTCATTTTTGGGTGAACTATTCAAAACTAGTGGCATTTATTTTAAGGATAAATTGCACACTTTTTAAGCAAAACAATTCACAAAAACATGGTTATCTTTTTAAATTTGAAAACATTGGAAATATTCTGTATTTGAAGATGAACAATATTGTGACACTATATGGTTGTCTAATATTAGTGTATCATGTTCATAATTAACGTGACTCCCTACACCTTTGGTTTTTCTTCTAGGACATCAGTGTGAAGTTGAGAACTAACTATACATCTACTAAATATCATCTTGGGACCAGATTATTAAAATCAATGCTAAAATGGCTTAAAATGTGAGGTTAGTTCTGAGACAGCTCTAGCATCTGTAGATGCCAATACAATGACATTCAGATATTTTAGTTCAGCTTAAGTGTTCAAATACTTTTGGACCAGAGTATTATCAAAGATTGTTGTGGTTTAGACAAGAATGTTTTTATTACCAACAATATCCTTCAACAAAGTTCTCCTCTAAGTCCTGAAAGGCAAGTACCTCCAATGAAAAAAAAAAAAAGTGGTCTGTCTACTCAAAGTGTGAAAGCATGATTCCTAACGCCAAACCATGGACAATGTTCACTCAGTATTGTGCATCAATGAACATTGTTTGCAGAAAAGAATGATTTACTTGTAGCACATTTGAACATGTTCATCTTAAATCAACACGGTGCCATACACCGTAAAGCAGTAAATAAAACAGATTATTGCAGTATGTTTTACAAGAAAAAAACTATTTCAAAATGTCATGTTTAATTCATTGTGTTACCTGCTGCTCTTTGTAATTAACTGTGAAATGTACTAACTTCTAAGTGAAAATCAAACAGCAGTAAAGTCATGCTTTTAGTAATATTTTTAAGTACAAAAGTTTGGAATTGGTGTGGGTTTTTTTTTTTTTCAATAAAAAAATTATCATGCTTACCAAGGATGCATTTAGTCAATCACAACAACACAGTAAAAACAATATTATTGTGGAATATTATTACCATTTAAAATGATTGTTTTCTATTTTAAAATGTAATTTATTTCTGTGATTTCAAAGCTGAATTTTCAGCATCATTACTCCAGTCTTCAGCGATCCTTCAGAAATCATTCTAATATGCTGATACATCTCAGTCTTATGCAATCAGCTGCATGCTTTTATTGTCATCACAACACACACTTTTCTCAAAGGCAATGAAAGTTTTGAAGTGAATAAGTGTAACTGCAGAGTTTCCTTATGGCTCTGGTGTACTGCAGTGAAGTTTTAATGTTGCTTGTGTGCTGCAGCAGTTTGAAACATTTATGCATTTTTAAGCACATACATTTTTGCAATGTTGATCTACATAAATGGGAGAAGCAAAGGTTCATGATGTATAATACACGTTTATTAGAACATTAATGATCTGATGAAATGATGTAGCTAGAATGTTTTTTTCTAGGCATTGGTATGTGTGAGACACATGTTGGAAACTCACAAAACCTGTCGGAGAATATCTGATATGTGGCAATAGTGTGACTGGCTTGAGGATTGCTTCCGTGTTTAAGGCTTTGTTTTTTTTTTTAAGTTTATGTGGTCTACACGTGCTCTGGGCATTGTTCAAATATTCCACGTCTGTCCTGGAAATGGCAGAAAGTCAGGGGTTTTCCGTGTTCCTAAATCTATGAATATCAAGTCTACACTGTACTTTTCTATTGTCTTGTTTCCTGGGGAAAACACACACAAACACACACACACACACACACACACACACACACACACACACACAAATGAAAGTTATTCAATGAAAGTTATATAACTCTTTTGCATTGTTTTGGGGTGCTAAAAGATAATGTATTATTCCATATCAAATTTTACATTCAAATATAACTGACCTCACAATAGGTCAAGATTTTTTAATATGCGTTTCATTGCAAATCTTCAAATAGTGATACCAGAAATAGTAAGGACTGGCCATCCAATGCATTTCATTTTGTTTTTCATACTGCTTCTTCCAGCTCCCAGATATTGCAGTTATGCTTGTATGCGACACCAGGTTAAGCTGTGTATCGTGACACTTATTTCAGTGGAAACTAAAAAGGGAAGAGAGAAAAGGGGGTTTTATATTGCTATTTCATACATACTCATCTGTTTTCAATTCGAAACATCACGATAATGCCCCACTGCTAGAGGCCAAATAAACAGCTGTCTATAACATCGTTATCCTTAGTATTATTTAGTTAGTTATTTTAAGATATGCCAATTTTGATACTGTATTTTCCGATTGTATACTGAAAGAAAATATACTGAAAATCAATCAAAATAAATAATAAAGTGAAAAAAAGAACTGAAATACAAAGACTCAATCTCTACGTTTCCTCCACAGGTTTTCTGGATAAACCCTGCGGTCTGTTTGATCTCCAGAGTACATCTGGATCATTTATCTGGAAGGGATGATGCATCAGATCACACAGATACTAGATAGAGTCTCCAGGAAAGGAATGGTTCACCCCAAAATAAAACATTTCCTGAAAATTTACTCCATCGGGCTATCCAAGATGGATTTGTTTCTTCATCAGATTTGTAGAAATGTAGCACTGCATCAGTCTCAGCAATGGATGCTCTGCAGTGAATGGGTGCCGTCAGAATGAGAGTCCAAACAGCTGATAAAAACATCACAATAATCCACAAGTAATCCACACCACACCAGTCCATCAGTTAATGACAAAAGCTGTGTGTTTGTAAGAAACAAATCCATCAAGACGTTTTTGACTTCATTGCGTCCAGCTAAAATACGGTATCCATAATCCATAATAACACTTCCTTCAGTGAAAAAGTCCATCCTCTTGTTGTCTGTAAACGGTATACTCTGTGCAGATTTCTTTTTCACTGGACAACGCAATATTATGGAGAATGGATTTGTATTTTAGCTGGAAGCAACAGTTTGAAGTTAAAACATCTTAATAATGAACTTGTTGATGAAGACACAAACTCTTCCTCGTTTTGGATGGCCTGGCAGGGTGTACATTTTCAGCAAATTTTAATTTCTGGGTGAACTATTCCTTTAAGACGTGAGAGAGGCAACCGGAGTTCACGAACTGAGAAAAATATGTATTGCAGTCAACCATATCAAACACAAAAGAAGCCATTACTCAAACAAAAGAGTTAGTAGTTTGCAAGGGACTGAATGTATACAACAGACTGGGGTCAGTAAGATTTTTTAATGTTTTTAATGGCATTTATTTGATCAAAAGTACAGTAATAATGTTAAATATTTTAACAATTTAAAATAACCGTTTTCTATGTGAATATATTTTAAAATGTCATTTAGTTTTCTGTATTTTCAGCATCATTACTCCAGTCTTCAGCGTCACATGATCTTCAGAAATCATTCTAATATTTGCTGCTCAAGAAACATTTCTGATTATTATCAGTGTTGAAAACAGTTGTGCTGCTGAATATTTTTGCGGAAACGGTGATACATTTTATTCTTCGGGATTTTTCGATGAATAGAAAAAGTTCAAAAGAACAGCATTTATTTGAAATAGAAATCTTTTGTAACATTATAAACGTCTTCACTGTCACGTCACTGATCAATTTAATGCATCCTTGTTGAATAAATGTATTAATTTCTCAAAAAAAAAACTTAGTGTATGCACATGCAATTGAAAACCAAATGCTGAAAGCTGACTATTGTGGCAGAGCACATTTCACCTGTCTGTCATACACTGGCTTTTCCAAACTTGTGCTTTCCAGCTGCATGAAAGATCATATCTATATCTATATCACCATATCAACTTCTATAGAGGTTACAGTACTATTAATGATTCATGGCAAGCATAAATGATTAGTACGTTTCGGAGTACAGGACCCACTAAACTAATAGGAGTAACTAATATATAACTAAGAAAATAACGCGTTAGCTTCGGTTTTTGACTAAATATTGCCTGATGTGTTCAAACACAGCCTAAAAACATATGAAGCGTGCTGACTACGACAGCTTACAGGGCATTGTCACGCATAGTTTGGCACAGTTTCACGCATAATTTGACAACAAGCAAACAATTTCGGCCCAAACCAGGACGTCCTTGCTAATACAGAAAGTCTAAACAATGCGGCAGTATGTTGTCATGCCTAGTGAAGAAGCACGCGGTGGCTTTGAGCGCCGAAGATACATTGAAACCTGACCAATGTGTGACGCCAGCGGGTCGTAGCCAATCAAAAGCGCTTTGTGATAAAGTGGGCGGGGCGCGCTGGTTATTATTTACAGTACTGGCATTCGAAAGCACATTTTGTTGCTCCAGTGTCTTCCGAATAACTTATTATCATTTTGGCATGTCCCGGTAGCAATTACAGATTTGTTACAACTTAGCCTATTTGCTGTTGTTACATAAGGACAGATTTCGAGAGGAATATAATTTAAATTGACCAATAAGTAGGCTATTTATTACAAAATGGACATTTTTGGACAAAATAAGTCACAGACAAACACCACCATTCCGACTGAAAACTGGACATCTGTGAGTAATTTTACAACTTTTCACTACAACTCGCGCATATCTATCAGAGACTCGTGCACTGCACACAGGATATTTTCTTTAATGGTCTTTTTAAATGACAGAATGATCACAAAGTTATTTGAGAAGTAATAATCAATGCAAGTTAATGAATCACTGATTTCAGACGCGTAATTTGTCATAAACTCATAAAAATGTTACGTTTTGATGTTCTACATGCCTAAAATAACCACAGACAAATTAAATAAACCATTCTTCTTTTTCTTTTCTTAGATATACTCTATAGTTCGATGGATTCAAATAACAATGGCCGTCCTAAGGTATCTATCCATTCATTTTCCTTTAATGTTGCAGTCGTTTAATAAAGAGACACGTATTAATCAATGTTTATGTCTTTTATACTTATATATTTATTAATGATTTGACTCTCAGCATCTTGGGTGCTGGCTCCATAATCTTTTATGCGATTTATAAAGGACTAGTAAGAAAACCAGAGGTAAGCCTCCATCATCTATACAGCTACTGTGATTTATTAATAACGTGTTCAAACAATAATGTACTTTTGACCACTGAAACAAACCTATGTTTCAGGTGCTGCCGTTGTTCTTGTTGAGTTTAACAGACCTGCTGTTAGCTTTGAGTTGGATGTGTGGAGGTCTTCTCTTCACCCAGTCCTGTAACGCTTACGACATCTGCTACAACCTCCACATAGTGGAACAGGTGCAAAACCGACACATTATCATGCAGAAATGATGCTTACCACAGGCAAAAGAAGATACCTCCTCTTTCTGTACATGCCATGTTTTTGCATCACACTTCCACTTCCACAAATAAAGCCACATTGCACAGGAGCAGTCATGGTCGACTGACTGTTAAAGCAATAGTTCACCCAAAATTGAAAAAGCTGACAATTTACTCACCCTCAGGCCATCCAAGAAGAGTTTATTTCTTCATGGGAACAGATTTGGAGAAATGTAGCATTGCATCAGTGTCTCAGCAATGGATGCTCTGCAGTGAATGGGTGCCGTCAGAATGAGAGTCCAAACAGCTGATAAAAACATCACAATAATCCACAGCACTCCAGTCCATCAGTTAATGCCATGTGAAGACAAAAGACGTTTTTAACCTAAAAAAAACTTTCTCTAGTAAAAAAAAAAAAGTTGTCTCATCTGAATCAGGAGAGCAAGCATCATTTACAAGCCAAAACAATCTAAAACAGCTGTAAACAATTATCTTTGATGGATTTTGATGTGAGAGGACAGCAGGGGATGGACTTTTTCACTGGAGGAAGCATTATTATGGATTTGTATTTGTATTTTGGCGTGACAGTTTAAAGTTAAAATGCCTCAATGGTGGATTTGTTTCTTACAAACACACAGCTTTTGGCATTAACTGATGGACTGGAGTGCTGTGGATTACTTGTGGATTATTGTGATGTTTTTATCAGCTGTTTGGACTCTCATTCTGACGGCACCCATTCACTGCAGAGCATCCATTGCTGAGTAAATGATTCAGTGCTACATTTCTCCAAATCTGATGAAGAAACAAACTCATCTACATCTTGGATGACCTGAAGGGGACATTTTCAGCCATTTTTGGGGGTGAACTATTCCATATTCAATTTAAATGCCATCAAAAGAACATTAAGATGAGCATTCTTTTCAAATGTTTAACAAGTCATGCATTGTCTCTATCACTTTTAATTAAATAAATGTTTTTAACAGACTGGTATTTTTTAATATCGAGAAAAAGTAATGCCATGTTACCATGTTTTTTGGACATGGTTCCATGGTAATAATATGGTTTCTTGGACAAGTACCGTGATATTTTTAAGTACCCTGGGGTGAATGCAATGGCACACGAATATTGTAATTATTCCATTTGATACTACCAGTTGATACAATGACCTTTTAAAAAAAATGATGTGATTGCAGAAAAATGGAAAATCTTTAGCCAATAATTTGTTGTTTGCCATTTAAAGTGTACGTGCTAAAAAAGAAAGAAACACAAATGAGGGAGGGACCATTTTAACCCTGTGCTTCATTCCTGCCGATGCACTGCAGGCCTAAACATGTGTCTCTCATTATTGAAGCCTGCTTGTTTGGCATTTAGCTAAAAAACTCACAGAGAAGAAAATCATGTGTGCTTGGGCAGTTTCACGTCAAAAACAAGTTGTTCTCAGCTCAGACATTAAAACCAGTGCAAAACAAACATGGAACTGGGACGAGTCTGAAAAGGAAGTGGAGCAGCAAATTTGATTCATATTCTTTGCCCAGATATAATTAGTTCTGACCCACTTTTAATGTCTGCACTTGTTCGTTTATAACAGTGGATTGTCATGGCTCTAATGCAATGTGTAGAGCCAAAGTTCAGGCTGTAGTTGTTCATTGGTTTGGTTTCTTAAGACTTGTAAGACATTACACTCACAAATCCTCTTTATTAGATTTATTATTAGATATGCTTTCCTAAAACTAACCTAACCCAAATGCCTTTGGTGATTTTGGCTGGTCTCTCCTTCTTGACTGTATCCAACAATTCAAATCATATACTGACAGAATTTTTATTTAATCTGATGAATGGAATCAATTTATTGCAATAAAAACAATTTTAATAGTAATACTATTTTTTTTAAATAATTATTAAATAATTTGAATAACCTATCCTTAATGTCATTTTAATAATGCGTTATAACAGTTCTCTGGTATTCATCTAGGACAACAGAATCATACTAAAAACTAAATTATCATAGCATTCAGCAGTGTAAGATCAGCTAAAGCGAGTACAAGTGAGCAAGCCATAGTTCTCCCAAAAATGACAGTTCTGCAAACCTCTTTTGCTGTCTATTGTATGAACTGCTTTTATAGTATTTTTATGGTGCTGTTTTGTAATTTCTGGAGCTTATCGGCATCAATTCGCCTTTGCATGATCTCAGTGTATTTCACTCGCAGTGTTAATGCAGTATTGCAGTGAATATGACGCAGTGCTCTACTTTAGCCCGCTGACGTATTTCATTGTGCATTTGTTAAATAGAGCAAATTGTGTACATAGTTTTATGATTGTTCAAATCAGGCAATACACACCCTGATCAAATATAACTAACAGCTATCCTCCTGTTGCACTCACCTGTGCTCAAAGCAAAACAGAAAGGAAAACCATGTTTACATTTCTAGAAGAAAGATATGCTATCTTTACCATACAGAGGTTTCTCAATCCTGGAATGTCATTCAGCTCGTTGCTTTGCTTTGACATGAATGCCAACAAAGATGCTGTAAGAAAGTGTTTTCCAGCCCTGGTCCTGCTGAAAATATTTGCAGCTTAATGATATTGAATGTGCACTCGTATCGAACTTCAAATCTCAAAAGTATATATATATATATAAACTGTACTTGCCTATAATATAATATTCATGAAATAAAAGGCCACTTAAGTGACAAACAGAGATACTTTGGTTTCTTAACACACTTAAATGCATTTTCAAAATGTGCACTTTGTAATAATGTAAAATTAAAAGTTTTACTTAAAGTACATTTTAAACCATTATGTTGTAGTAATATTTTGTTGTGCTTTAAAGAAATACACTTATTTTAATGTGTTGACTAACATACTAAAGCACATGTAGAGAACTTGATTATAATTTTAACTCTAGTGTGTTATTTGATATTACATTTAAAGTGAATAGATTTTAAATGTACTAAATTGCAACTTCATCATTAAACGTGTAATTACAAATATGTTAAAATACATGACTTAAAAGTTGCAATAGAAATTACATTAAGGTATATTTTAGTTTACCATAAATGCTTGTCAGTACATTCAGCGGTACACTTTAACCATATTTCAAAGAAAAAATTAATAATTATGAAACTGCATTTAAAGATGTGCTTAAATCGGGATAGTTTACTCATAATTGCTGTTAATTTACCCACCCTCAGGCTTATCCAAGATGTAGGTGACTTTCTTCTTCAGGAGAACAGTAAAGAATTTTTTTTTGCTGAAACCGTGATCCATAGTGATTCATATAATGCAAGTCAGCAGCTGTCCGTTTCTAGGAATAAAAAAGCATAGAATTAATCCCCGTGGCTCCTGACGATATATTGAGTTCTTATGAAGTGAAATGATCAGTCTGTGCAAGAAAATGCACATTATTTACAACATAATCCAGAGCCTCAGGCACAAACTGGTTCTTTCAGACAGTTCGTTTAAATGAACTGGTTCAATTCACTAGTTTGCATTTTTTGAATACTTAAGTATATTCTTATAAGTAGATTTCTTCCATATTAAGCACTCTTCTTATTCTGAAAAGTATGCTGAAGTGTACTTCTTTTGCACACGGGGAAGCCCGACTGCACACATTTGCATGTCTCTCTCATCTCACACACCCATTTGAGGTCTCCACTAACTAACTGCTGGCCTGAATCAGGTGTTTGAGAAGAGAGAAACAAACGGTGCTGTGTTGAGGAACTCAGGGTCAGAGTTGGAAAGCACTGCAATCACATATTAATGCGAGAGATGTGGCTTTCAGTACTGCGCAAACATGGTATGAATGTGGATGTGAACTATAACTAAAATATCTTAAACTTCATTAACTTCTCCCTTTGACTTTCACATCCTACAGACGCTTTACATGGCCTCGTTCTTCTACACGCTGCACTATGTTTGGGTGCTCTACACCGGACTGATGGGGAAGTACAGGAGACTCAATGGTTTCCCTGGCGAGGTAATCAACTCACCCTTATGAACAGGTTTATATGACGGTAATAAAGCAGCATGCGATAGTCTGCATGTAAACGCTAGCAATGCTGACTGGCTTGTTTATTTCAGAATCCAGCAAACACAAGAAGCTGCAGGTGTCTCGGTCCTGTCCTGTCATTGTAAGAACATAAATGATACAAAATATCACTCAAACTGATATTAAATATTGATGAAGCAACATCATTTACAGTAAAAGCCCCTCAGTCTGGGGTAAAAGGCCTTCAGGGCGACTCTAGTGTAGATGTAGACAAAACATGGCACAATTTACCACCAAGTTATTTTGTAAAACCTTTGGGTGCTTAATCAAAATGACCACTTCAGCAGTTTCACTTTTTTATTAATTTTTTAGTATTTTGTAACCTCTTAAAACATTTTTACCTTTTATTTCAAATTGTTTATTTAAATGAATTCATCATTGGAATTTCTAACACTATATATTTCTATCACTGAAGTTCCCTTTAGGATTATTATCATTAACTAAAACCAAAACCAAAACTTTTGAAACAAATGTTAACTGAAATAAAATAACATTTTAAAAACATATTTTATTTCAGCTAGTTGCCAATGCACCATTTTCATCTAGTTTCACTTTAAGTACTAAAATAACTAAAACTAAACCAAAACTAATAAAAATTAAAAAACAACATAATTACTAAAACTTTGAATAAAATTAAAGTGAAAACAGAAAATCTAAAAATAAAATCAAATTCAAAATATTTTCAAAAACGATAATAATATAGCAAAGATACTAAAACTACCCCTAAAGGTGTTTGTAAAAAACTTGGTGTGCCATGTTGTTATCTGATTATTGGTTTATATGCCCCACTTGTCCTCCCTCGTTTCCCTCATGTTTGCTCTCCTGTTTTCAGATAGTCAGTGTATGTACACTGTGTTTTCACAGTCCCTGTTGTTTTTATTATTTTTGATCGAATAAAAGCCAATCAGCTCTGCAGTCCTCACCTCTTCTCTTCTCCCAAGCTTGACAAAAACATGAGACAAGAGCTGCATCCTTGTCACCATGTACTGTTTAGCATGGGAAAATTAGCAGATAGTTCCCTCATTCATTTAAATTTTATGCATCAAAAATCCAGAAATAGTACACAACCAAGCTGCTTTGGAATATTCTTTACAATAAACTATGATAAACCCATTACCTGTAATCCTGCATACTATTTTGGGTAAATACCATGCAAAATAAAATTGAAAATGAGCAGATTTGAAGAACAGAATGGCGTTTGGTCGACTGACTGTCTGTCCTGATCTCTCCATACAGTCTTTTGCCTTTAATGCTCACAGCGCCCGTCTTTGTAGCAGGAAATGTGTTTCGGTGTTACACAAACTTCACCCAGCCCTACAGGTCAGTCGAAATACATGCATACATGCACAGCAAATGATTAATAAACTGTACTTTCTCATTACTTATTACTTAGTCATCATAACTTCATCACAGCTTATAATTTGAATTAACCCTGTTGTTATTAAGACTTATTGCATTCAGTAGCTGCATCTAACCATAGTTTAGTGGTTTGAATACGTTGTTTAAGATGATGCTAATCCAGAAGTGATTGTCTTCCAGATGTTTGCTGATGCATACAGGCGCTGTGTATCTCACCTCATCTGTAAATACAGAAATGACAGCATGTAGTGTCATTCAAGACTACTGCATGACCATATTCCTTACGACCTTCCTTATCACCTTCATCGGCATCACCGTGAGCCCTCTTTAACATTTAACATGTCTTGAGCTCATTTTTGAATACCTGAGCTAGTTATGATTTAAATGCACACTACTCTTCAAAAGTTTCAACAGTAATATTGTGAAATATTATTAAAATGTAATTCATTCCTGTGATCAAAGCTGAATTTTCAGCATCATTACTGCAGTCTTCAGTGTCACATGATCCTTCAGAAATCATTCTAAGATGCTGATTTGCTGCTTAAGAAGCATTTCTGATTATTATCAATGCTGAAAACTGTTGTGCTGCCCAATATTTTTGTGGAAACTGGGATTCCACAAAAATATGGGGGGAAAAAATCTGTTTTAATGTTTATTTTCAGCATTTATTTGAATATCTTTAAAAAACTCTACTGTCACTTTTGTTCAGCTTATTGTATTAATTTTTTTCAAAAAAGTCTTACTGACCCCAAACTTTTGAACAGTAGCGTAAGTGAACATTAGGCTAAAGATATATGATTCTCCAGACTGTGTGACTCGATCATAATCTAATTGTAATCCTCGTTTTAATTTCAGACTCTCATGTGTAAAGCTCGCTCCCTGTACAAGCGTATCATCACGTCTCAAGGTTTTTTTGCCGACAATCATTGGGAAACTCTGCGTCTCCTGGAACGGCGTATGCTGCTTTATCCCTCAGCCTTCTTCTTCTGCTGGGGACCAGGTCAGCACACTTTTGAAAACATTAAAACATTTAAAAAGTTAAAACATATATATAATGTTACTGAGGTGCTAAAGCAGCCAATGAGGAACCTTTTCTCGTTTCCCTTAACCATATATGTCAGTATGTTTACTATCTTGAGTTTAATTACAATTTATTATTTTATTGTATTAACAACCCCTGCACATGCATAACACTCCAAAAAAACTTGGGCCTACATTTAAGATTTATGGATTTGAATTGCATATAAATTTTCCATCCATTTGGATTACACAGTTTTAGCATAAACAAACGAATAAACTTAATGTGATGCATTACGTATATGAATCATAAATGAAATGGTAAGATTTCTGTACTTAAAAATTCCTGGAATAGTTAATTATTAACTACTTCCGTCTATTTGAATTTATTTAAATGAGCAATATCACACGAGTAGCAGTGCGATATGGCCGTAGGTAATCACAGCGTGCTGATATACAGCCATATCGCATGGCTACGAGTGTGATATTGCATTTATACAACAGTTCAATGACACGAGTGTGTAAATAAAAAAGAGACAACTACGGAGTGTCTTTAAAAACCCTCTTTTGTACAGAACTACTTCCTTCCACCACGGAATCAAATCTCAGTTTGACAGTTTAACAGCTGAGCTCAAGATCCGTAACTAATTAAAAAACGTCACTTTAGAACTAGTAACGAAGGAACGTTGAGTTGCTTCATTGAAAGCTTATTGTATTACTGTATTAAAAGCTCACTGAATTATGTAGAGTATTATGAGAGAGCGATGGACTAAGCGAGTGTGATTACCTGCATCGGATACAGCATTCATTCTTCAGCTCAATCTCATATTCACAATAAAACATTAGTCTGAATCTCCGCTGAGGAAAGCGATATCTTTGTTGTACTGTCCTTTCATCTGTTATGGGTGATTTCCGATGACAGCGCTGCTCACTGCATTTGTTGGCTGCATCACAAGCTGTTGTTGGAAGTAAAAAAAAACTTCCTTGTTTACAACCCTGTTTCAGTCTCTTTCAATATAAAAGTCTTTACTGCGGACTCACTCAGAAAAACTTGTCGCCGTCTAATGGCGGAAGAATATAACTAACCACAATCACAAACACACACACCGTTTCTCAATACTAAATACTACTATTATTTATATAAAATATTATGTAAATGTCTTTACTGCTGACTCATAAAAACAGTCTCTTGTCGCCATCTAATGACAGAACAATGTAACTAAATTCACCATCACGAACACGCACCGTTTCTCAATACTAAACACTATTATTAAATACTATTATTTATTTATATAAAATATTATTTGAGTAATAATATTTAATAAGCAACAACAGCCATCATAAAAGTTGCTTGGCAATTCAGTCAAAAGTACAAAGGCAGCGCTCTGATACACTGCATTCAGTTTATAAAAAATATAAAGTTATGAGACTTTGCTCTCAGCCAAAACTGTTTGCTCTGGAACAAATAATAGAATATTGAGACCAAAGACTGCCCCGTTAGATTTACCCAAAACAAATGATATCTCATGTTTGAAATATAAAAGCGCTGAATGGCCACTGACGCCCTGGAGCTCACATCTCCGAAAACATCGAAGCAAATGTTCAAATAGTCGTTATCTTTAAGTCTAAACAACTACATTCTCACCTAAAAAACTCTTAAAACCACATTCTGTGACACAAAACAGTATTATTTATAAAATTATAGTGGATTTGGGCATCCGCCATGACACTCGCTGTGAGAAATACCACACGCGGAGTGATACAAATGATGAAACTGTTATCACTAGAATAATGCATGCTTGGAAAAGGCTCTCAGCCAATCAGATTTGAGAACCAGAAAGAAATGTTGTATAAATAATAATATTTTTAAGACGCATTTATTCAAATTGCTGAGAATCAGCATTAATCTGTTCGTTATGAAGACGAATACATGGATTCAGTTAAAAAGTATGAACAAGGTTAAAATATGGCTAGTTGTGGAACAAGCAATATTTATTTAATTAAAATGTATGAGGTTGAAACAAACAAATGATAACTATATAAACCTAGATATTGTGTATTTAAAACATACAGTTCATTAGTACTATTTCAGAAACCCTGCCTGTTTCATATTATTTCATTTATGTACGACTGACAAATATGAATCGCATTAAGTTTGTTAAAACTGTGTAATCAAAATGAATAGAAATTTTATATGCAATTCAAATACATAAATCTTAATAATAGCTTGTTAATAAATTCAAATAGTGAATTGCAATTAACTCTTTTTTGAGTGAAATAAATCCACAGCTAAACACTCTCTCTCCAGCATCTTCATTCTACGTTTTTTTTTGTGATCTCTTCTTTATTTCAGCAATATTTCTGGCCACTATGATGTTGGTGAAACCGGACATAATAGAGGGAAGGATGGGAGTCGTTCTCTACATCCTACAGGTTCGCCAGAATACATAAAAACTCCTAGTAAACTAATCACATTACCCCTGCATGCCTACTGTAACATGTTCCTGTTCGTCTTCTCGACAGGCCTTCACCTCTGCCTCTCAGGGTCTGTTGAACTGCCTGGTTTACGGCTGGACGCAGCAGCACTTTCGCTCTCTCAGCAGCAGCACCGTACGGGACGCCAACACCCAGACTCCCCTGCTGCGCTCCCAGAAACCAAACTACGCCGCTTTGCGCTCTGCTGCATCGCTCACCAATTTTGTCTGACAGAAAGACACGCAAGAATCCCTGTAATGCATTGGGATGATACTTTAAACCAAAGCGACCGAGGGATCAAACCCATGACTTGGCTGTTGCGAGCGTCATGCTCTACACATTGAGCTACCTGAGCAAGTACAGCACACACTAACTGAAGACTGAAACAAGCAAAGTATTAGTGTGGTCCGTCATGCGTGAAGTTTGGTCTTGATGAAAACAGCCACTGCAGAAGCGTTTGTTTTGCTGTTGTATTACCAACACCAGATGGCAGATAAGGACGCTCTGCTGAAAAGGGAGCTGAATGTTTTTTCTGTTTTCTACTTTGGTTTTGTTATGAGATTTCATATGCTGCACCTGCTGCTAGTTTAGCTGAGAAACCCACTTCAAGAAACCGTTTCATCATCCAGCCTCTACAATATAGCTTTTGCAATAACATGCAATGATCGAGACTTTCAGATCACGACGCACTGCTGAACAGTTGAAAAGGGAAAGACCGAAGGGGGATTACGACCAGAGGGAAATAGCTCTGAAACAGGATCTGAGAGGACAATGCTGCTGCTTTCCATCCAAAAACACAAAAACAAAACAAAAATGTGCTGAACCCACCCACACATAGTGGTTAGCATTGCAGGTATCAATTACTGCTGAAGGAGCATGAAACAAATCATTTATCCTTCATAAACAATACTTCTCAATAGATATTATTATTAAAGAATACGTTCAGCTGATGAGAAATATTAGCAGGAAAAGACTCATACGAACCTGTCAAGATAGTAGCAATGAATCATGAATAAGCATTTTGCTTAAAATGAGGTCATGGGAAAGCTGGAAATATAAGGGAAATATTTAGAAATTGTGATTTTCAGGTTTAGAAAAGTTATGAAATGAATGAACTCTTAAAGGGATGGTTTCACCCCCAAAGTAATATTCCTTCATCTTTTACTAGGCCTCATGTCGTTCCAAACCCACAAAACTTTTGTTTAGCTTTGAAACACGGATGGAGATATTTTTAAGTAACTTGAGATATTTCTGTCCCTCCTTTGAAAGTCCATGCAGCCAAAACTCTGACGATTCAAAAAGTTCATAAAGGCATCGTACAAGAAATCCAGTAATCCAAGCTTTCATAAGAGACACGATCAGTAGATGTGACATTTAATTTAGGCTTTTATTCTCATATATACACATTGATCAACGCACATCCAATGTATGCCCAAATGTGCTTGTGTGAAACGCAGAACAAACCTCATATGAATGACTTTTACAATGTCTTTATGAATTTGAGTCATCAGGGTTTTGGTTGTGTGACCTTTCAGTAAAAGGACAGAAATCTCGCAGGTTTCATTAGAATCATGATCTTCATCGAAGTTTCAAAGGTGAACAAAAAGTCTTGTAGGTTTCAAGCGACATGAGGGTGAGTAAATGATGACGGTGTTTTCATATTTGGGTGAACTATCCCTTTAACATGTCTGTGGGAATTTCTATAGTTGGTAACATTTTCCAGTTATGCTTTGTTTTAAAATATGTTTTTGACTAGAAACTGGAGTGCAGAGTCATTGTTCAGTAATTACAAACAGCTGGAAAAGTCATTGGTTAAAAATGGTTAAAAAATTGGTTAAAGGGAATCCTATTACACCTATATATATATATGGTGTCATAAATGACATGTCGCACTGGTTTCCCCTTTTAGTTTGGCTCACATTTGTCCCATGACAGAATGACTTTAATGAAGTATTACTTTCATTTCCGAGAGCATTTTATATGCATGTGTGTACATAGTCTTTCCACATTAAATGCTGTTGAAAATGTATGAAATATATTTTAATAAAAATATATTAGGTGTTGCTATTTTGGGGTGGTTGATTTCAGACTGACTGATGTTGAGCTGTTTGCAGATTAGCTTTTTAGACAAACCTGTGAAAAAATGTGTCACAGAAAACCCCTCAGTATCTGGATTACAGACTGATTATAACTGCCCATGTGGAGATCAGGAAGAGAAATTTGTACAAATGTAATCCTGCTCTAATTCTCTGCTAAATACTGCCACCTGCTGAAACAATCCAACATTATTATATACGGCTCTCTCGAACTGATTTCATTAGGTAAGTAACTTACGTATTATTTATATAGCAACAGTGTTTATATATGGAGGACCAAACCTGCAGAAATTAATAATTAATGAATGAATTAATAAATGTAACAATAGGAAAATAAATACACATACACAAAGGAGACAGAGATATAATAAAAATAAATAAATAAAATAAACAAATGTGAAAAATAAATGTATAAATAAATACAAGTGGGAATAAATACATATAACAACAAATAAATGTAGAATTAAATAAGCATAAAATAAATTAAAGAATAAAAATGAAAGAATAAAAAATATTTCAAGTTTTCCTTTCTCTTTGGAGTGTTACAAGCTGTTCGTGCATAGATAAGATCCCTAAAGTTGCAAAGACTAAAGTCTCAAAACCAAAGAGATATTCTTTATAAAAGTTAAGAGTCAGCCACGCCTACCTAAAACGGCTCGTTCTAACACGCCCCCACATGTCTACGTCACTATGTGGGAAGATTTGCATAACGCCGCCCAAATGTTCACGCAAAGAAAGAAGGCGTAACTTTATTGTTGCAGCCGCGTCATATCGTGAAGGCGCTGTGTTTCTTTGTGAAAGCGAAACAGAAAGGCGGGGCATAGAGGAGAAACAATAATGTACAGTATGTGGAAAATAATGTGTTTTTTTTTTACCTTAAACCGCATGAACACATTTCATTACACCAAATACACAAAATAATGTTCTTTTTAGCAACATCATATGACCCCTTTAAACATTCATTCATTCATTCTGCATGTTTGGTCCTCCATAACAAAGCACTTTACAGAAAAGAAATACATCTAAATATTAATTCACAGAAATAAAAAAATGGGGAAAAAAATAAACACAGGCCTAATATAAGTAAAATAATAAAATACAATTGAAATGAAAACAAACACAAATATATAAATAAAATCCTCAAGGAAAGGCCCTAGTGAACAAATGTTTTAATGAAAGTCAATAAGGTCCGAAACGACAAAGGATCCTACAGAGAGAGAGAAAAATAGTACGATATTATTAGTTTCAGAAAATAACTCAACACTTCTACAATTGTCTGAAGTTTCCAAAGAAAAAAAGTGAAAGCGCAAAAAAACTGACTAGCGGCGCAGAAGCTCATGAATATTTAATGCACTGAAACGCACGCGTCAATCCCAGCAACGTCACAAACACACCATCCAATCAAACAGCCGCAAGCAGACATTCCGGAAACCGTGAGCCAATGAAAACAAGCAGGAAACTTGCACATTAGGTGTAATCATGTGTAAAGAGAATAATAGTGCCAGTCCAAACCACTTACAGAAAAGCAGGTCAAGTGGAAGAGTTTCAGAAAGATTTATATTCCATCCCAGAGAGCTTTATTTCAAAACATGGAGAACAAACAGATCATTAATTTTGGAGCTGGACCAGCCAAACTTCCTCAGCCGGTGAGTGCATCCCTAAAAAATGTTGGTTATTTAGGATTATTCATTATTGCACACTAAAAGTTTATTGTATTTTTGTAAAACATTTGTTTATGCGTCATAGAGAAGCGTAAATCATATCAGATTACATCATCTATCTATCATTTACAAACCACTGTGCATGCAAAAATATATTGTGATAATGTAGTGCGCAAAATCGTTGTGCGTTATTTGGATGCAGTGTGTGAGCGTTAAAAACACGTGCTTATGGTCTAGATGCATGTGCAATGTTGCGTCAGCCTTCGCCTGTTGACTGAACTCTAGATCTGCAAATCAGTACAGGAGAAAATTTCAAATGACAAATACACTTCATACATTCAGATCGGTTCAGAGCACATTTAAAAGCCAAGCCAAGCTTACAGATTTAGATTGAACATGTTTTGATTTGTTATGAAACGTGCAACATTCACATCATTAGTAGCATGCCATTTCTCGCTAATTCTGAGTGTTGTTGGTTGTTTACTTCACAGAAATTCAGGGTTTTAGTTGTTTCTCTCCAGTGCTGGCTGTTGTGAATGATTGCTACTGATTGCATGGGCGAAGTCGTGTTTAGCATTTCCATCCTTTTATCTTTCACTGAGGGAGGTTGCTAGGATCATAGAACGAATTTCATTTAAAGAAATAGTTCACCCCAAAAATGAAAATTTGCTGAACATTAAATTGCCCTCGGGCCATCCAAGATGTAGATGAGTTAGTTTTTTCATCAGATTTGGAGAAATTGCATCACTTGCTCACCAATGGCTCCTCTGCAGTGAATGGGTGCCGTCAGAATGAGAGTCCAAACAGCTGATAAAAACATCCACAAGTAATCCACACCACTCCAGTCCATCAGCTAACATCCTGAGAAGACAAAAGCTGTGTGTTTGTAAGAAACAAATCCATCAAGACATCTTTACTTCAAACTATTGCCAAAATACAAGGAATTGTTATTATAGATTATGGACTGCAGTTAAAATGGCTTAATAATGGATTTGTTTAGAAACATGCAGCTTTTGGCTTCACAAGATGTTAGCTGATGCACTGGAGTTGTGTGGATTACTTTTTTTATCAGCCGTTTGGACTCTCATTCTGACGGCACCCATTCACTGCAGAGCATCCATTGCTGAGACACTGATGCAATGCTACATTTCTCCAAATCTGTTCCCATGAAGAAATACACGCATCTACACATTGAATGAGGGTGAGATGCATCGAGACGTTTTAACTTTAAACTGTCACTTCTGGCCAAACTATGAGTCCATAATCCATAATAACGCTTCAGTGAAAAAGTCCATCTCCTGTTGTCCTCTCAACATTTTTGAGTGAACTACTCCTTTAAAAGCCAGTTCTAAAGACCTTCTGTTTATGGTTGTACAGGCAAAGCCAAACCTGTTTTGGATACTAAAAAAAAATTGAATTATTATTAGAAATTAGCTATTGAATGGATATTATTCTATTCTTAGGTTTTACTCCAAGCACAGAAGGAGCTGCTGGATTACAGTGGCACTGGGATAAGCATTCTTGGCAAGGATCTGCATTTTTCATATACACGTTTGTATGTGTAATGCCATGTTTTTGAGGCATTTATTTCTCTTTTGCAACCAGAAATGAGCCACAGATCGTCTGATTTCTCCAAGATCATAAACAGTACTGAAAACCTTCTCCGTGAACTTCTGTGAGTCTTTACATCTGTCCCCCAGTCGGAGATTAATGTCTTCGTTCATGTTCCATAACAAATGTATAATCTGTGTTGTTCACTTTGAACAGGAATGTACCTGAAAACTATAAGATACTGTTCCTGCAAGGCGGAGGCTCGGGACAGTTCAGCGGGATTCCTCTCAATCTGATTGGTCTGAAGGAGGACAGGTGTGCCGATTATCTGGTCACGGGGACCTGGTCTGCAAAGGCAGCCAAAGAGGCAGAGAAGTATGGAAAAGTGAACGTGATTCATCCGAAACTGGATTGCTACACCAGTGAGTAATCGCAGTATAGTGAGCTATATTTTTCAATGCTGAGAGAACAGAAGATCTTTATAAAAACACGGTTTGTAGTCTTCTGAAATATGTTTAATCTATCATTTTACATTCTTTCCAAAAGAAATGGTGTGTCCCTTGTGGAAAAAGAAGTACGCGCTAGCATACTTTAAAAAAGAGTGCTTAGTATGAAAACAATATACTTAAGTGTGAACTGAATGTCATGCTTTCAGGAACTTAAATGCATGCTAATTACAGTTAAATTAGAATATATTAGAGTTTGCATTTATATTAAATGCCGTTAGCTGAACTTTAGAGTGTTTTTGACCCACTTAAGCACATCTTCAAATGTAATTTCAGAATTGCTTTTATTGTCTTTGAAATATAAAGTGTACTGCTGAATGCACTGACAAGCATTTATGGTACACTAAAATATACTTTAATGTCATTTCTGTTGCAACTTATGTGCCATGCATTTAAATATATTCGTAATTGCGCATTTTGTAATGATAAAGTTGCAATTTAGTATATTTAAAATGTTAACTTTTAGTATGTTAGTCAGCACATCACTCATGCATTTTTGCTTAAAGGTGAAGACCGTACTCAATGTATGTTTTGCAAGGTTCCCCTTTCTGTTAAACACATTTTATTGGACTGTCCAGCTTTTAATGTACAGAGAAAACTCTTTTATGAAGTGAACTCACTGAAAGTACAATTTTGCAAGGAAAAGTTTTAGAATTTTTATCACATGTTAATGTAAAAAATCTTGTGTGATATAACTTGTGTTTGTTTGTTTGTTTGCTGGTTTTTATTGTATTTGTTATACTTGTATTTTTTAAACTGTTTTTGCCATGAAAATAGCCTTTGATGCTGACATGGCATTAAATAAATATATACTACTACTAGTCAACACATCAAAATAAATGCACTTATAGCATGACAGAAGATTATTAAAACAGAAAGCAGAAAGCTTTTAATTTTACATTATTACAAAGTGCACTTTTTAAAAGTCTACTTAAGTGCGTTAAGAAACATAGCCAAGAAAGTACATCTAAGTGGCATTTTATTTCATTAATATTATATGTGACCCTGGAGCACAAAAGCAGTGTTAAGTCGCTGGGGTATATTTGTAGCAATAGCCAACAATACATTGTATGGGTCAAAATTATCATTTTTTCTTTCATGCCAAAAATCATTAGGATATTAAGTAAAGATCATGTTCCATGAAAATATTTAGTAAATTTCCTACTGTAAATATATCAAAGCTTAATTTTTGATTAGTAATATGCATTGCTACGAACTTAATTTGGACAACTTTAAAGATGATTTTCTCAATATTTAGATTTTTTTTTTTGTACCCTCAGATTCCAGATTTTTAATAGTTGTATCTCAGCCAAATATTGTCCTAACAAACTATACATCAATGGAAAGCTTATTTATTCAGCTTTCAGGTGATGTATAAATCTCAGTTTCACAAAATTGACACTTATGACTGCTTTTGTGGTCCAGGGGTCACATATTATCAGCAAGTACAGTTTAAAAATAACCTACGATGATGGATACTTCAAGTGCACATTTAATAAAAATAAAACGCACTCATTTTTCAGAAGGGGCTGCACAGCTTTGGTCCTCACATGACTTGAACTTTATTTTCACAGAAATCCCAGACAGTAGCACTTGGTCGCTGAATCCTTCAGCATCTTACGTCTACTACTGCTGCAATGAGACGGTGCACGGCGTAGAGTTTAACTTCATCCCGGACACTAAAGGAGTGCTTCTGGTCAGCGACATGTCATCTAACTTCCTCTCCAGGCCGGTGGATGTGTCGAAGGTTGGTGATGCTTCTTCAAGTTCATTATCGTCTCATAAAAGCTCGTCCCAGTAGTTTTTCACATTTATCAAAAGGTCCTGATTTTTTTTTTTTTCAACCTAATCTTTTGTTAATGCTGTGAGTCTCTGTGTGTTTCTACAGTTTGGTCTGATATTTGCCGGCGCGCAGAAGAATGTGGGCTGTGCGGGTGTGACGGTTGTCATCGTCAGAGAGGATTTGATGGGCAAGGCCCTGAAAGAGTGTCCTATTATACTGGATTATCAGGTGCAGGCTGGAAATAACTCGCTCTACAACACTCCTCCATGCTTCAGGTACGGCTTTCCTTCGGTCATCATACTGTGTCTCTGTAGACTTCATTTAAATTACATGCATAATTATCAGCTTGCCATTTCTTGGTAGCTATAGAAAAGCTTACCAAACAAGCAGCAGTGGATTTTTGACTTCTTTAAAAATGTTTTTGAAAGAAGTCTCTTCTGCTCACCAAGGCTGCATTTATTTGATCAAAAATGCAGTAAAAACTGTAATATTGTGAAATATTATTACAATTTAAATGAATTGTTTTCTATGTGTGTATATAGTAAAATGTAATTTATTTCTGTGATCAAAGCTGAATTTTCAGCATCATAACTCCAGTCTTCAGAAATCATTCTAATATGCTGATTTGCTGCTCAAGAAACATTTCAGATTATTATCAATGTTGAAAACAGTTGTGCTGCACAATATTTTTGTGGAAACTGTGCAAGCCTAACTTTAGGCTATTTATAATTGTCCAAGAAAAATAGCAACTCGGTGCATTAATTTTGAATTTAGTTAAATAGTCAATATCCATCTGCGTATTGCACATTTTTTACAACAGTTTTAATGGCATCCAGTCAGATTTTTAATTATGTTTTAATGGCTTTGTTCACATCTTATCTGAAATATCTTCAACTTGATATAATTACAGAAACACACAGCCATGTTTGTAGATCCTAAATGAGGAAGAAACTTAATAAAAAGTTGCAACACAATATTTTCCATTTCTCTATTTATTTCCAGGAACCCTTTTATGATTCAGCGTTCACCTGTTTTTTTTTTTTTTCGTTTGAACCTCAACATTTGCTCAAAATATGAACCGTTTTGTAACTATGACTTGTAGATGCTTGTTCTTCTTACAGTATTTACATCATGGCTTTGGTTCTGGAGTGGATCAAGAACAACGGAGGGGCGGATGCCATGGAACGACTAAACGAACAGAAATCCGACATCATCTATGACAACATCAACCACTCCAATGGATTCTACTCGTCAGTCATTATCTGTCCTAATCACATCCAAACACTTGGATCACCATTTTACAGATAGAATATAATCTTCTCGTACAGAAGATTATTGCTAATGTACAATATTAATCATTAATCAGCTTTCATTTTTAATCACTATTTAATATTTAATATATATATATATAAAAAAAAGGATTTAAGTCAAATTAAAAACAGTTATTGTTATAATAAATATTAATAATTAACTAATGCAGTATGTGTCCACATTATGCTCTCTCGTCAGACTTTAGTTTTTGTCAAAACGACTTCACGCACCGTACGTTCTCTTGCAGATGCCCAGTTGACGAGGCGTGCCGAAGCCGCATGAACATTCCGTTCCGCATCGGAAAGAAGGAAGGAGATGAAAGTCTTGAAAAGGCATTCCTGGATGGTGCTTCGAAACTTGGCATGATCTCACTTAAAGGACACAGGTGTTGTATGAAAATTAGGAATATGTTACGTTATGGTGTTTGCATAGTTTGACAAACATTTTCATTTGCTTTCATGGAGGAGCAATGTTGCACAATCTACACTGAATAACTACTGATTCATGCATAATTTAAATGGACAAAGAAGTTTACGGATAAATCCGCGATGGTCAGTCTGGGATGCAGCAGTTCACTTAAAGGAACAGTTCACCCAAAAATGAAAATGTGCTGAAAATGTACTCACCCTCATTCAGTGTGTAGATGTGTGTATTTCTTCATGGGAGCAGATTTGGAGAAATGTAGCATTGCATCATTTGCTCACCAATGGAGTGAATGGGTGCCGTCAGAATGAGAGTCCAAACAGCTGAT